TTTTTGCTTTTCTAACTTAACAAAAAATAGAACAACATATGTCGAGCAAAACCGTTTCCCTAACGAAATTGGGAATAAATGCATATTTTGGTTCAAATTGTTGCTGTACTTCAAAGCCGTTTAAGAATAGTATATTATGAAATGAGCATTTAATGATGGCTATTAAGATACGAGTATGAGAATTGAGAATCAAAATCAAAATCAAAATGATAGCATTTAGATCATCTGACTTTTTAGTGCAGTAACCATTTAATTGCAACTAAATCTCAAGTTTGGAATAGCTTACTCTTCTCTAACCTCCTCTAAGATGTGTAATGTAATGTATTTTATGTCTTCCTAACCTATCATAGCACATTTTATATCTGTAATACGCGGGCCTAAAGTACCACTTTATGCCCTAGGGCATTAAGTATCACCATAGTAACTCATTCATACTTAATGACAAAACTAACAAATATTTGCAGGTCATTGAAAATTAGAAACGTCAATTATTAATTGTCAGTACCTACTGAATCACAAGATTGGCCTTATTTAGTATAGTTTCTGGAACTTCTTGCTCATTCACGATGAATTGAATTATTTAAAATTACGTTTGACGTTTGGATGGTTTCAATCACATTAACAAATTCGAACCACGCATACTTAATCAAACATAATGAATTATTTTGTAAACGAATATTTACTTTGACGAAGAAAACTATTTGTAAAACATAAAATTTTGTATGTACCACGGGCATAAGCTGATGTTTATACTCTCGGGCGACTAAAAAGCTCTCGGGCCATAGGCCCTCGAGCTTTTTAACTTGTCGCCCTCGAGAATATAAACATCACTATTATGCCTTTAATACATAAATAACTATTAAAGTAAACTAGGGAGGTTGCGCTGGTGTAAAGTATTCTCAAGTTAGAATAAACCCGTAAAGAGCGTTTAAAAAAGCGGCAGAGCACCTCGGTGTGACCCCACGGAGTCATTGGATTTGATCCATTTTCAATTGGCTTGTTACTTGTGGCATATAGGTCAACTGTCCAAATCTGTCCAAGCGTTTGATAGTTATCGTGTTCACGGACAGACGGACACCATCGACTCCCCTATAAAGCTTGCGTCGCTTTGCTCTGCCGCTTAATAAACAGCAATGAATCAGTTAACAGGTTGTAGGGTTTATTATTGATAAATAATTGGTGCATTAGGGTGGGTTATTTCGGAATAATTCATTGTGAATTTGGGATTTCAATTCATGACTGGAAAGGCATATATTAGTAGTTGTAAGTATCATTATTACGTATTTTAAAAGGGAGAATAATTGTGGTAATTGACCGCTTTATTCATTAAGAGATGGGTTAGGGGAGCTTTTACTTGACGAAGCTGTAACCAGAAAATCATTTCGGAGGTGGGTTTCGTATGCGGACGCGAGCCTTTTTGCAAATAAAGCGTACATATTGATAAATTGTTATTCTTATAAATCTTGGGAAAATTCATTGATTAATTTACCATTTTTGGTGTAAAAACGTTAATAATATACTGTGTTTATTTAATAATTATAGAAATACTAGGTCCAAGGCTGGCGTCCTGCGAAAAAAAGTGAATTTACAAATCAAATTGTAATTCAAAAGTCCAATTCATTTAAAAGTAGGTAATTCAAAAGTCTAAAAGGGAGCTTTTTGGCGCATTTTTGAAAAAATAGGCTATTATATTCGTTATGGCTGGCTAGCCGGCTGTCCCGGTGAGATCTCAGCAACTACAATAGCTAGAGACTTCAAATTTTCACTAAAAGCTTTCTGCTATAGTGTAGATGTGCAGGCTCTAGTCTATTTTGAGTTAGATTACTTGTGAGATCGATAATTTAAGATAGTTATTTGTACAACTAGTTTTGAAAGTGATACTTTTTTTCATGAATTTGCAGTTTGATTAATGAGGGCGAGTTAATCAAGCCAATTCATGGAAAAAAGACACTTTCAACACGTGTTGTACACGAAATTTTTTTGCATAGTGATCTATAATAACCCACAATTGAACAATTTGATTGACATTCGCGATTTACTGTCACTCAAAAATGGATGCTATTGTCCATAGACAGCACTAAACTCCATGGAAACGCATAGTAAAAATCGTGAGAAAAAGTACCACTTTCCATACGATTTTTCGTGCAAAAAGTTCGATAATCACTATGTAAAAAAAAATTCCGATATGGTTTTCGCTCGGGTTTTCGGAGGTGCTATAATTTTACCGTTAGATCGCGCTACCAGTGAAACAACTTAATTATTTACTTTGTGATTTATTTTACAAAATAAAGACGTACCCTCAATTGTAATTAAATAAAATTAATTATTTAACGCAACCAAAATTACCCGTGAGATCGATAACAATAATTCGCTAATAAAATACTCATCTGTATTACCAAAAATGCGCTTTGATCATGCATATGCTGATTTACAACTTGTTTTATTTATAAAGCGATTTATCGGTATGCGGCAAGAAACACAGACACTTTGAAATATCTTACGAAAAAATCGGGTGTGTTTTTTACGGAAGTGGATTGTAAGACTGCCAAATGATCAGCTGAGGCCCGTGACGTAAACCAGTGTCCGAATTTGTACACTAGCGATCAGTTTTATGAAAGAAATTCTCAGGGGCCCTTATCTCTTGAGAGCTCCCAAAATTCCTTGAAATCATCGGAGATCTCGTTAAATCCTCGAGATCCACGGAGGGTCTAGGAAATTCTTTAAAATCCTATACGAAATATAGGTTGTGATACATCAATGTAATCAGGAAAAAGAATGCAGACAACAGGGTGTAGCATTTAAAAAATATCAACATTTGATAAAATCTCACAAGCGCTGATCCAATTTTTTTTTATTACGCCACTGGATTCTACCTAAAATAAGTAGGCAGTTTTTACCTTTTTCTCTATCTTACATGGATAGTAAGATATGACAACCGAAAAGTCAAACTTTTCGGTTTCACCCTGTATCTCAGAAACAAACGTAGCTAGATGGATTCTGTTTGTGGTATTAAAAGTTTCACAAAAAAGTGGCAGAAGTTCGCGAAAACCGTGTCTCGTCAAAAACAACTGAGCTACACAGCAGCATCGGCCAAATAGAAAGTACAGACAGTACCTAATAGGATTTCGAGATTCATCACATAACAGATTTCCAATAGCATAAATATTCCGGAGTCATGAAAAATGATCACATTTGGCGCTTAGACACCGTAAGATAGTGGCAAAACATGATCATATAGTAGGTATCAGCATCAGTTGGTAAGGTCTAGGACTGCGTTCCATAGCAAAGTGCAAATCATTCAATTATCATGAAGGAATTCAAAATTTAGAACAAATTTTCTAACAGAGGGGCCAGAACTGAGTACCTCACATTAAAAAAACTTACTAAATCGCTTCCTACTGAATCAGGGGGAATGATTCTCATTCTGATGTCCTGGCAGTTCTGAAATCGCTTCAGTAGCAATCATACTACTAAAGAGGCCTGATGATTTTCGCCTTCTATTTTTGGCTCTACAATCAATTACGCTATCTTTCGACAAATGCATCATTAATTACTAGTTCCATCAAAGATTAGGGCAAACTTATTGCCTCCGAGGAAAATTTCGGAGACCTTGCTATCAAGTAAACAAATAAAAAGTGTCATTTACGATGTTTTGCTCCACAAAGGCGACCAGTTTCAACAATAAAACCATCCATCACTCTCTTAAATTTAATCTGGGTCTTTCTGGCCCATTAACAAAAGACATTGTTGAGGAGGATGATCGCATATAATTTCTGATATCTCAAGAACAGATTGTACGAGGAAGGTACTCACAAAGGGCAAGTGGAACGACAGAACGAGACACATCCACTGGCGATGTGAATATCTCGAAAATGTTGGAAGATGGTACCTACCTAAAAGTTCTCCTATGGGGTAGGTTACTTAAATAAATAGGTCGAAGAAAGTAGTTTCGTTTCCATCAAGAAGAAAGGAACGATTTCAATATTTTGTAAACCTAAGTAACGAAATGTATGGGACGATGAAATCCTTGTGCGAATTTTATAATGTGGGGATTTGGAATGAAGAACATTCCATTTTCACTCTATTTTGGCGGATTTCCTCGGAAATCCACCTACATTAATGATACAAAACGTTAGTCTCGTGCACTGGAGAGCTTTGCATAGGACAGATTGCGTTCGTTGATTTATAATGAAGTGTAATAGCCTCTAAATTACATAGAGATAGACTCCAATTTATCAATTCTTTATGATCGATTATCGGGTAATTTAATTCAGATTATATGTTTCGCGAATCCAACTTTATTTAGAGGCGGTCATCTTGCCAAGTAGTCGAGCAGATTGGAATTTTTTGCCTTGACTATTACCTAACGATTTTAAATTGGACGGATTTCTCCCACATCCTGCCGAGATTTGCGAGTAATTTTATTGTTTAATTGGTGCAAATCTGGTTATTATATAATCATTGTTAAGACCGGAGGGAATATCCCAAATTCCGGTGCGGTGGGTTCGTCGAGTGCATGTAATGATCCTATTAAGTGTAGTGTATTAACATTCTGCTTTATGAGCGGTTGCGTTAGCGCGCTTTTGTTGCAGCCACGGCCTATTTTTTGCAACACATTTTTTGTTACATAATTTAGTATCAATCATCGTGATCTAAGTGTGGCGGGTCGTTTATTCACGTGACGTTTGTAGCGTCGGCAGCGTGTTCATTTTCTGTGATTGCATAGGAGCAGCGTTCATTTAAACATCCTCGGTCGCAGTGGGGGAACAGAAACCACGCGACTTCTGTTACGACGCGCCGTCCCTTTTTGAGCTACTTCGATTCCGCTTTCAATACCGTTTTATCATTTCTAATTCTGATAACAGACACTTAACTAAACGCGCTATCCGTGCGGAATACCGGCAACATTTCTTAAAACAAATTCGCTCTCTCGACGCGAGTTTCGCTAAAATCTGTGATCTAATTAACATTATTATTGCCTATTATTGTGTATTGTTTAATATAGTGTAGCACGCACTGACTTATGTAATTTGGAAAATCGACTTGTGGCCTTGAATGAAAACGAACCACCCCTAGAGAGTTTAAACTTTTGTTTTAGTGGTATCGAATGTGAGGGCGAAATCTATTCGTCGTCTCAAGCTACCGCTTGTGTCAAATCAGAGTCGTCCGAAGAAGAAACAGAAGTCATCAGCGTACGTGAGGAAATACCTGAAATTACAATTTCACCACCGGAATCTGTTATATCACGAAACCTTCTGGAGTCGACTTGTCCGACTCCAACTCCAAGACCTCAAACTGCCACTTCAAAAATATTCGCACCTCGCACGGAGGAAATGAGTAAAGGATTTTTAATGTTCTCGGACGAAGAACCTGGCCTTACCAGTAAGTACCTAGATTCCATTTTTCTTAGTCATTCACAATCCAGCCGCTTTTTACGTTAAGGTATTTTTATGAAAAAAACGAGATAAAAACCAGATAAAAGCAACGCAACTAAAAACATTTGTAATTACGAAAGGAAAAATACTAATTTACGATAAACTTGTTCGATTATGTAATTGTGGATCAGTTTTTCCTAATTTTTCGAAATTGTGTAACGTGCATTAATCGGGCCTCTTGAAAAAGTCTATTTACGCGACTTGCTTGCAGACAAGATGTAAATTACTTACATAATACTTTGCACAAATATCAGTGCATTTCATTATTTTGTAAAATCTGCAATATCCCAAAGATTGCTGCTTTCCTTTCAATTTCATTAATTGTATAAAAACACTTATGAACAATCGTCCCTAAACTAAATTTTGTTTAAAGTGGGGCACGTTCATTGAAATAACTTCCAAGCAAGGTTGGAACTGAAAAAAATTGTTGTTTTGATTTCTTTATTATGAAATTGGTAAATTCACTGTATAGGATGCAGTGCCAATTCTTCGATGCAAAACTGTATCTTGTATTCATCCCTGACGGAAATACACGGTGTTAAAAGCTTAAAAAATTCATTAATTTCATTATTTTTCTGTACCAATTTTATCATTGTTTTGTGACGTGCCAAGTTAGACATGATACAGCAACAGCAATTATAGGGGCGGGCGTTTTGTGGGAAATTTTAATTTATAAGAGTGCTGAATGATATCGGTGCACACTGTTAATTATATTTCTTATAATTGAATTGCACATTTATTACACAAGGGATATGTATAAAAATCACAGAAACCAAGAGTGCAATATGGTTCGTTTAGAAGATCCATTCGTAAAATTTGCAGCCGTATTACATGGACAGCTTTACTTAAGCCCTTTCCTACATTTTCAAAATTTCTACCCTGAAGCCTACCTTACATGGTCAATTCTAATTCTATTGATAGACGCAATATATGGTAAAATTGGGTATCACATACACGAATGGAGATAGATAAAATAACTGTGGAGATGAAAACCTGGCTTAAGAAGTCCCACCTGACCACCCCCTGGCTATGAGTCTGGCTCGAGAAGCGCAGGACATGGGGCACTATTTCGACGACATACCTACTACTAAACCAAGCGACTACAACATTTTTTTGCAAATGGATGAACTGGTTGCGTTGATTTCGCCATTAATAAAAAAAATATCAAACTCGTCCCACTTCCGACATCCCGTTCGCACGCAATTCTCCTTTGAAGTTTTCTCTCTACGATCAGTAAGATCTTGTAGGGGGCTATCACAGTCCCTTTGTTGGCTCGAGCTTCTATTGACATAAGAATGAAACTTATGGGTACCCAAAGTCAACTACCTCTCGAAGACGCGCGCAAAAGGTGGTTAATTTCTAGAATTCCTAGAGAAAAAAACAAAATTCTGTCAGGAGTTGTGCGGGTTTTTACATTTTTCCAACAACACCAATTTGAACACAATTAATCGGACCAAAACTGTAGAAGAAGTCGAGAGGAAACAACTGAAAAATCACCACGTTAGTATAACGCATCATGCAGCCCCCGCCGTAAAGTTGTTAATTACACTGCCGCATGTAGGTACAATCCTTGCCTTTCTACGAGCGTTCTTCTACCGGCTCGCATTTGCTGCCAGCCGGTCGGTCAAAGTGAGAGCTATCTTTTTACAAATTGCAAAAATGCGCTAAATCCAGAGTAAACTACCGACTCTAGTATTTTAAGAAGAGTATAAGAAATAATACTACAGATACATGGACCTGATACCTTATACAATTTATGGGGAGATGCAAACACAGCCCATAAAAATTCACAGACGAGTTCGTCTCTGAACCCTCTTTATATTAGCTCTAGAAGCAATGTTTAAAAAAACTAGAATGGAATGGAAATCAAAAGGCATAAACATAAACGGAAGTTATTTGAATCACGTAAAGTGCACGGATGGCATAATTTTGCTCAACAGAATAACAAGAAATGCATGTTGACTAAGAAAACATTGGGCTACAGATAAACAAAGATAATGACAAACACAAGAATAAAACTAAATAAAGATAAATTAAAAAATCAGTATGGAAAGATAAATGAGGAGAGTGTATTTCCCTCCTAATAATACATATTAATGTTAGGACCGCGAAAAACAAATACCGATAGGCATGAGATCCTTGCTTCATTCACTTCAAATGAAAATTCGTAAATAACAAAGTTGGCATTGGAACTGAAGACCATGGATGAGAAAAAGAGAAAGGGGAAGACCATAAATGCGATTGGAGGAGGACTTCAAGAGACATGCCGGTTTAACTTGGGGAATTTTTGCCAGAACTTTTGGATTCCTTCTAATTGTTAACAGGATGCTATAAATATTTATAAAAACAATATAATTTTTGTCATTACATCAGTCTTGAATTTTTAACAGAATAAATAAAATATATGTAGGATATACAATATAAAGTGCCAGAAAAAAATCTATCACTGACAATTTACCAGATCGAAAAACGTGTCCGTGGGAGGGCAAGTGGGACAGCTATATGGCAAACCTACAGGTTAAAGTATAGAGACTGAAACGTATCCAAAGGGAAAATACATAATTTAGGAAAAAGTTTATAATATTAATTAAAAAACACAAAAACGTAAAATTTATAATGTGTATGTAATTAATTAGTTATTTATTGGCGAGTTTATTGGTCTTCTCTCTCGTACTAGTCAACGATATTCTAAACTGATAGACAATCTTTTGCTAATCCATGGCGTTTCTCCGCGATTCCGATTGCAAACGGTCCAAAAGTGTTGAATAGTACTATCCGTTGCACACCTAGAAAACTGATGCCGTCACTTTCTCGGTAGACGCAACCTTCTACGCCTTCTTCGGATCCGGTTCATCTCCCTTGCGCTCTCCACTGCTTTGAACGTTGCTTTGTAGTGAGAATTTAGTGGTGAATTCAGGTTTTGCCCATAGTTTTAAGCTGTTGCCACTAAATAGCACCCTGACCATTTGAACATTACGAACTAGGAGACATCAATTTATCAAACGACCCTTGTAGGGTTGCTAAGAATAAAATAAAACTACTGTAACGTATTAGCCATTTACATAATAGTCAGGAAAATGACACATTACTGGCGAGGAAATATTGAAGCCTTTGGGGCCATTTAATTACGTGGTTTATTTATGTACAATTAACCATTAAAGAAATTATAACAGTCCTTAAATAGATTGATTTATAACATTTGATTATTACTTGTACACAAATTTATAAAATGTAAATTTATAATACATGAGCGCGAAATTACTACTCATCACTTCGGAGGCGATATTGGAGCTTATAACACGATTCAATTTCTCGTAAAGAATGTGTCACATCCGCCTCCATTCCTTATCGTCGGTCCTTTATTGACTTGTTGGCGCCCCGAGGTCGCCCTAGAATATTTGCTACGGTACAAACACTTCCTGTATAAGGGAAATCAATTTAAATAGATCCAAGGATTTCTTTAACAGCTCAAAACCGCTTCGGTAAGTTTTAAAGAATACATTTTTTTTTCGAGTGGTTATCCTTTCAAATACGAGTATAAAACGGGAGCAACATTGCTTGACTGTAGATAATAAATGAATTATTAGTAATAAACGCACGAACAACAGTAAAAAAAAAGCGCGTGAAGTCGTAACACAACGTGGAGTCCGAACCGTTTACGAGAGAACGTATCATAAAAAATTATCGAGTACGGCGAACTAATTAGAATTATTAATTTCGTAAGGAGCAAACTTAGTAACGGTAATACAGGTGTAAGTAAAATTGGTTTACGCATAATAGATATTTCAAAGGTAAATTGAAATATTTTCTCTCCTACCTAGTTATTTTATAGCAAAGCTGTAAATAAATAATTTGTTTGTAGATTGTAAGGATTCAGGGGATGATTTATTGGTGTTTAACTGGGTAAGTGAGACGAATTGGAGTGTACCCGTAATTTCCGTAATCTTGTATTTAATTCAATGTTAATTAATTTATATACAGAGTGTCCCATTTATCTTGAGACAGTTGATTAATGCCGAAACTAGCGGTGATATCAAAAAATGAACTGTCCCTTGTAGGAAAATTAATTTTTTCAAATACAAACCTATACTTTTTATTGAAAACTTTTATTCTACATCGGAAAGTAATAACCTGTCATGGGAAACGTTTTTCCTTTCCATTTTCTATTTTTTTGAGGTACTTTTATAAAAGCGCAATTTTTGGTTTGAGTTAGGAAGCTGTTCTGTCAAGAATTTGGCACATTTTTTATTGGGGAACCCATAATTTTATGCATTGTGAACGAGCCCTTTTCTTTAGGGAGATGTAGAACGCTATTGTATCGAAAAATTCCCATTCTGTCACTATTCGAATTGTGAAGAATCTACGTTTGTTATTTCTTTCTTACGTTAGCCGACTACGAAATTGCTCCGGATTAAGCTAGCAGTTATGAGTAGTGTTTGGGGGAAGGTTTCATGAAGTTGGTCCAAAATAAACAACGAACACGTCATTCCATCAAACTTTCTTTATATTTGATCATAAATGTTCACGTTTGCACCTAGCTTTGATTGTTTGAACTATGTAGAAGAATAGATTTTAATTAGTATAGCATCCATTTACAGTGAACTTCCTGTAGAGTGATCTCCTGTTTATTTTCAAAACACAACTGTATTTCAAGGTTTAGTTTTCGTTGTACTTGAATAATACTAGATTTACACATCAAACAAAATTGAGCTTATCATAGCTCAACTCAAGGTTGCTTTAATTATGTAGGTTCTACGTAATTTAAGCAAAATGAAATGACATTATTAATGCTAATGTCGTGTTCCTTCTCTCAAAATTAGATTAAAAATATAATTTCTGATACATTACATAATTCCGATCGTGCCAAACTATTAATAGTAAAACTTGCGCTTGCCAAACAGCGTTTAGAATTATTTTCGCGAAATTATGACGATTAGTTTGTAAAGCAAGTCTACATTAATTACCTCCGATTTTCCGTACATTTTTTAAGAATACTCGACACAATCTAAGTCTAAGTAATTAGAGAGGTTTCCATTTTTAATCTGTTGTTACATAAAAAAAGTGAACAAAAACCGTATGCAGTCATCACTCTGATGTAGGTAACTAAGAATTTTGATTTATAATTGGAGTGGACTCATCCAAGCGTTAGTGTAGGTAAATTAGCTTCAATTACCATCAATGCACGTGATCATTTTTTTCCATTGCGTACATTAAAAATCATTTATTAGCGAGATATGTTTGGGGAAATTTCCGCTATTGATATTGAATATTGTGTAGGATTGTCTGCCCTCGTGTCTGCCTATTTGAAGTGAATCGACGTAAAACACCGCATGAAATATAAATAAAAATGTCTAAATTTTGATTGAGTTGCTAGTCACATGAGCGCGTAGTTTTTATGCCAAACCACTGCACTTTCACTTACCGGATATTGTTTTTATAATGCATCCAATGTAGGACTTCCTCTACTTTATTTTGGAATTATTGTTGCGCAACGAACCTTACCATTTTGATAATTTTCGTTATTATATGCCTCATAAAAAAGCGGCTACTGCTCAGCTTTGCATCAGTATTAATGTGTACTCTTTTTCAGTGTTAAAAGACGAACCCGACGATCTCACCCACCTCGCTCCAGTAGCTGGCGATGTTTGCGTGCCGCTAGAAGACCACCCCTTCTTGACAGATATGCTAGACGACTTCTTATTAAGAGATAACTTTGGCCCACTATTAACAGATGAACCTACAGATCCATTTATATCATATAGAGACTCCTGTGATCCTTCCCCTCAACTACTATCACCTAACTTATCAAAGGTACGTAAAATGAGCACTTTGTCATCTTGTGAAACCAAACCGTTTGTTTTTAGCACTCAGATTCTAGTATGCAATCATTAAACAGCCCGGGTGGATCATTGGGGGATGAAGATCACATGTCAACTTTCATGACGCTACAAATGGACGAAGAGGACCCCGAATTAATAATGAAAGCACCATACATACCAATGAATATAGGCGACGATTTACCATTACTCATGTCCGATGATCTCATATGGAATCCAAACAGTAACGAGAAAAATAATTCTCACAGTAAAGGACCGGATATTAATTCTAGCTTAGCACAATTATTATGTTCTAATGTTAATAAATCTCGTAAAGTTAACGATCATGGAGGGGGGTTAATTGAGGATAATGCACTCCACGACATGCAAAATAAAGGTGTATAGTCCATTTTTGAGAAATCCATTTAATCCACGTTACTTTGCAGATACAAGTTGGAAGCAGAAAAAGCTAGAGCGTTCAAATTCGAATAAACGGTCAAACGGGTCACAATATAACATTTCAAATAAAAGGTGTAAAAGTGATCCGGAGGAAAAAATGTCTTCAGAATTATTACAACAGTTAATGTCAAATAATACGCAAAGGGGTCGTCCGAAGGGAAAAAGTAATTGGTTATTGGATTCTGGACAAAAAGCGACGTGTATAAGTCAACCAAGTGATAGTGTTTTAATGAATCTTTTGGTAAGCGGTTTTGATATTAGGGCGGGTTACATTTGTTTAGCACCTAATAAAAATAAGTGTTAGAATATAATCTTATTAAGCGTGCGCTGTACTTTATTTATACTTTTTCTACTTGAACTTTGTATGTACCGCAGAATCTTTCCCTAGTAACCATAGCTCACAATGTATAAGAGAGGTGTACGCACTGCTGTTAAAGCCAATACAATGTAAGAAAGAGATGGCAAAGGTAGACTGAATAAGAAAAAAAAGTCAACAATTTAGTTCTTACAACAAAGTGTACACGGACACGGACTTTTTTGTGGGAAATTATTACATGCACGGCCGTGATTTCCGTAAGAAAACGCCAATAAAACTAAGTGCCCAGTGCCATAGACTTCGTCTACCTTTCACTTCTCTTTTTTAGATTGCATCGACTATAAAGTAGATTTTCTTTGTGCCATTAAAGATGAAAGAGTATACACCTATCTAAATTATACATTGTGCCATAGCGTAATCATTTTTATATGGAACATGTGATTTTGATATAAACACGAGCAAGGCTATATTAGATCTACAATTGACAACCCATGCCATCCGAATCTCAAGACCGTGAACTTACCTCATTGCTGCCTATGCCCGAACCAAAAGTACAACAGTTCAGGGATTTATGAATAAAACTGCCATTGTTTAATTAAGTTTTTACTACAGCGCACTTTTAACTGTGATAGGTTTCACTATCCAAGCTCTCTATGTCGTAATTTTGTCGACATTCCATGTTTAAACGGTAAATCGCAGCTAATCAAAAACGATTTTGTTGTTCATTTAGAAGGTGCGGATAGAAATTTGCTCAACGTGACGAAAATAAATGAAGGGAATACGAAAGACTTGCACAGTTTTAATGTACGTTTAAGTGAAAAGTCTATGTGCCGTTGTTTGTATATAAGATATCTATGTATGTTAAATTATGAAATACATTTATATTGAATTGATGCCTTTGCCATATTTATAAATGTACACTTTTATAAGTATGGAGAAGGTGAATCAATAATAAATTAATTTGCATATCATGATTTATTTTGATGATTTCAACAATGTTGAAGTAGGGAACCATGGATATTGTATTAGAATTATTATACGCTAGTGTTTCCTCTCTATGTGATTTATCTAAAAAAATTTATGCGAGTATTTTATTAGCATGTATAGAAAAGCTTTCTGTAACAAAAAACCTTATTTTAGGAACACCAATTGATAGGTTGTAGTTTTCATTGTTGAAACAACATTGTTTATTGGTAGAATGGATGTTAAGACAAAACTTGATTTTGTCAGTGATACGAGTTATAATCTGTTATACAGATTATTAGTTTATTATTAAGTTTGTTAAACGCAGTCTGTATTTATTTTAAGCGCATTGTAATAGAAAATCGTAAATAAAGTGATAAGCAAAGATTATTCGATTGTTAATTATTTTTGTAACTGGAATTGTTTGTACTGTATATATCAAAGTAAAATATTCACAATGTAACCATCACGGTAACTTTTTCAAAATCTGCCTTAATAAATTTAAATTATTTTCCACAATTATTGTCTTTGTTCAATTTAAAAATTAATTGGGAGACCTTTATTATAAAATTAAAAGTGGAAACTAATTTCCGCTTGAAGGCTGTGAAATATTTTTAATGGTGTATTGTCCACATTGTCAAATTAGTCTTAATCGGCTACGCCTTTCAAACATACAAATGATTATTTTGTTTACCTCGGTTTTCCCTCTAGGAGGCATACACATTATGTATTTTAAATTATCTACGTGCGTACAACCAATTTGGTTAGTCATTGCTTTTGTACAATTGTAAAAAATGTAAAAATGAACAGTGTTAATCCATGAATTAGCAGACCTCTACTTTGATAAAAGTAACTTCATAAAGCATTATATTTAGACCTGCAATTACTATCAAATTTTTTTTATTATACCTGCATCACAATCGCACGCTGAGCTTTTAAAAGTTGCTAAGTATACTTCAAATATGGAAGCTATTACAAATGTACGTGGTTTAGAGTAGGTATGCCGCTAAATCGGTTTCACTTTTTAATCACAGTATTGATTGAAGTTTTGAATGAATTCACTAAGGGGTAAAAGATTTAAATACCTACCTTTGACAAACGTAATGATTATTGTTTGACCAATATTAAAGTGCTTCATACGAATCAAGTATAGCATCTTTTTTTATTACTTACATAATATAACGCCATCCATATATTTGACAGGTCGTGTGAGGGCATAATGAGATGAAAATCCATTATGCCCTCGGGCGTCATAGACTGCTTTATATATCTCATATGACAGATATAATTGGCATATAATAGGCAAATGAAAAATAAAAAAAAATGCGTATATAATAATGGGTCTTTAAAGCACTTGCAAATTGGAAAGGCATTCCGCTGCTTTTAAAATCGTTGCGCGTGCTTTAAAGACTTCATTATACACTTGTTTCTTAATACTATTTATTATCTGGTAGGCATAAGAAACAAAAAAACTTATGTGTGATGTAAGGAAGGTTGAGTTTCTGAAGAGCAGAAATCTGCTGTAAAAGGCGACTCAAATCGTATTGTATTTTTGGCAAGTTCCAATTAAACAACATAATTCAGTGGGCCTGGGCAGTTAAAAAAGCCAAAGTAATAAATCGTCAACAGTTTGGAATGAAAACAGACTTGTCCCATTTACATTTATCCACAGTTTCTTTCTTAAATTGATGATTTAGATGTTTACACGTTGCATAATACATTATCTCCTCCCAAATTTTATTTTATGTGATGTATTTTGTTTGTAAAATGTCACAAATAATATAAAATATCTACGTGACATTATTTTGGGATATTTTCTTTCTAAACCTCATCAATTCTTTATAATTGGCTTGACCATGGTTGCAGAGGCGTTAACTAGGGCATGAAATTTATTATTAGGGAGCATTTTTTTCTGACCAACTAAAGTAAAATGAACAGGACAAAAAAATAGTTTCCATGCTTGTGACCTTTGAAGTAAAATCACACTACAGTATCAAATTAAATGGTCTAAGAGAGACCATAACCCCGTCATATTTTTATAACCCTGCCATTAATTTTTCAAATTGAATCAGATTGCAGTTGGAATTTTTTTTCGTTTTAGGACCTTTTTTGACATAGTGATCTTAGCGTTATACAGTGCGTTCGAGATAAGAGGATCACCGCAATATCTCTTTTATTTGGCGAGATACGAAAAATTTGTCAATTTGTATGTGACACTACGATCTATCCGATCGCCTATTGAAATTTCCTGTATCACTTCCGGTTCAACCGGAAATCAATACAATTTTTTTTAAATGCCTATGTTTTTCTGGTCAATTTTTCAAATTTTTTCTGTGCTAATTTTCAACGGAAAGTGAATCTTCTGTCATTGGTAAATTTTAATGGCAAGTGATGGTCTTAACATTCCTTGGAATTGATGGCTGTATTTCTGTTTTTGGTGGTCAGATCTTGAAGGCTATAACGTCATTGGTTTCTGCAGGTCGGAATTTTATTAGAAGCCTTTTTCATTTCACTCTATTTACGTTCTTATTTCTTAAGAAAGTCTATTAGTCTACTAATAATAATAGAATATGTCTCGGTAAAGTTTTCTGAAAATGGAGATACAAAGACGATCAAATGGGGACAGGATTGTTTGATAAGCTTTTAATGTGATCCTCTAATAAAATAAACATCGTTCTCCCCGACGCCATTCGAAATTCTATCTACACCTGTATCGCTTATCTCGCACGTGACATTGTTCGTCGAAAAACCAATTGATTCTTGTCCGATAACAACTTTTTATCAATATCTGACCTGTTAAAACTAACACTAAAAAGATAAATCAATAAATGTTTCCCATTCTGTGTCTATTTGAAATAAAAAAATGCCCAAGTCTTATGAAAAAACTAGAATTATATTACATACAGGATATCCTAACTGCTATTTCCGATATTCAGACCGAAATTAGGTTAACAACACATATTTTTACATTACAAGGTGACGCGCTCTCGTCTTCATCATTATTTGAACCTAGAGAAACGACAACCCCATGTAATTTACATAAAAGCTCTAAAAAGCTTTATGCAGGTTACTCTGCAATTGGGCGCAAGCCTGTTGAGGGTCAAGAACAAGAGAGGGATAATAAATAAATAAATTTGATTAACATTATATTCTATTCGTTGAGAATCTTATGCTTGAACATTGGAAACAGACACTATACAAAGTGCACCATAAGTTCTCGAATGATCAAATATCTCCGTTATCTGTGAACCAATTTTTTTTCACAACAAATAGACAAAAATGACTCCAATTGTATTGAACATAATTAAATAATTAGTTACTGGTATTTTTTAATGTGGTTTCTTGTTGTGTTAAGACAAAAATGTAAAAGAAGATGGAATTGGACAGTGCTAAGTACTTTTTCCTTGCACTAATATGGCTATTGGATGGTTGACAATATATTAGAAAAACACTTTTTTTATGGAATTTTATGACTGCAAATACAGTACAAATAATTCTTGATGAGATTCATTGTAGTTAGCTAATAAGAATTACTTTTAAGCCTAGATTAACTGTTGGATTCTGTGATACAATTCCACGTCTGCGTTATGATCTCTAATATATTTTTTCACTTCTAGGATGAACCAATGATCGAAATTGACACAAGCCAATCGCACGACACATTAATTGGGGGTCAGCCTCGTATCTTCTTTAGTGGAACATTACCAAAATCGCCGGCGCAGACGAGATTGATATCAAAGCAGTGGTCAAGAGGTTCAATGTCACTACTCGATCCCAACGCTCCTTCCGTTACATCATTCTTGGACCTAACACAGCAAGATTTTGACGTGAACGCTCCCGTGAGTCACCTGCTGCTGCAAGGGGAGGATCTTCTAACTGCATTAGAATTGAATGGGACATTGTAGCATAGCACGTGTACTGATGAGAGTTTGTAATGTGAGCAAGTTTTAGATTAATTAGTAAGACAATGTAATTTTATATTAACTGGACCGGGGTGATTTTTTAAGAAAGTACATATAGAGAATTTTAAGGACGTTAAAAAAATTTCATATATAAGCATTTATTTTATGTGTCAGACATTTTAGTTTAATATTGTATGATCGTTATGTACAAAAATAAGTAAGTCTCAATCATTTCAAGCTCTCTCTTCGTTTTTTTTTAATAGGTTGTATATTTTTTATTGCATTATGTTTTTAGACTAATTATATTAATCTTGGATAAGGTGTGTTTAATATTCTAATCATTTTATAAAACTGCCATATTGTCGACTTAGTTTGATTTTTGTAATCATAGAGTTAAGTCATTGTAAAAACGCACTTAATAATATATCACTTGGTACTATTTGAGAAAATGTGCTACATATTATTTTTTTCTGTTTTTAATTAACTCCATATATTTGAATTAGTAATAAGCATTTATTGGACTAGAAATCATTTTATGATTGAGCTACAGTTCTAGTGATCATATTCTTAAGGACTTTTATTGAATGAATTATTAAGAAGGAGAAATTGAAAGCATAGTTGCGTTTCTTGGCCGGGAAAATATATTGTTTATGGGATTTTGTTGTTTCTTTGCAATTTTAATTGTACTCCCAACAGTGTTTAGTAAAAGTTTTGTTTTGCAATGTGCAGGAGTAGTGTTATTTCCACAGGGTCAACACTGTACCTTGGATGGGGGTAAGTAAGCTATTGTCTAAAAATCACCAAAAATAATCTATACATATATTGCCAAACTGGGATCACGCTCATGAAAAAGGAACTCAAGATTTAAAGATTTAAGAGAGTCGCACATAGCTGATATTTAAAACAATTGTTTAGATTTTTGATGGTAATGTAATGATTTCGCAACCCTGTGATATGTAAAGGGTAGTTGAAAATTAAAGCAAAGTCTGCACTCCAATGCCAATAGCAATCTGCACTAATCCTATGTAAATGAACCATAAAAGAAAGAAATTTAGACAATTGATAGAGTTGACTGTGGGGCCGGCAGACGCTGGTAGGTGGTTGCAAAGAGTATATACTCTGGTGGTTGTAAAGAAGAAATGTTAATTTCTTTTTACATTTCAGTTTGTATTACCCTATACATAAAATCTTTAGTATTTATTCTATTCTATGGCTCATATTTAAGTAATGGGATTTTTAAATTTCGTAATCTCAATTTTGAACTAATGGAAATAGAAAGTTTATTTTTATTTATTTATTATATTTGTTTATCATGCAGTTTTAAGTTTAGTTAAAAATGCGTATATATTGAGCGAGGTGAAGTGTTTTTTCCATTCCAAAAGTGTGGTACACTAATAACGAAAAGATGTCTTTCGAAATTAATGGTAATTCTGCAACAATTACTAAGCGAAGAAGTAGAGATAAGTCCAACAATCAAATGCCAAAATCGCAAAAAAACGGCTTCCAGACGCCCAACTATAATAACCTATCGCCACCCCTAAACGCTTTTCCCAACCGAAACATTCCAGAACATGCACCCTACTATTTTCCGGTTACATATCAACATCATATGACGACTGAGCCAATGTCACTACCTGTCTATCCACTTGGATGCCCTACGATTCCCTATTCGGCCAATCCTAATCTTCACCCTCGTGGCTACGTCAACAACGCGACAAAGTATCCTTTCCAAAATAACGAAGAGTACGCCAGTCTACCAATCGGTAACTTTGGTGGTCAAAACGACGGTTCTTTAGACAAGCGAAGGTTCTCCGATCCTGGTCTACCATTTGATAGCGATTCGAGCACCAATTCTTTAGACGATCGTATAGTTCATAAGCTAACTCAGCAAGTTCACGCCTTGAAAGAGAATAATCGCAAGTTAAATCGGGAACTTGTCGAAATGAGAATTGAGCTGAACATGTTGAAGCAACAGCAAAGTTCAAGACATTTTGACCGAGACTATGAGCCTGGGATGCTTGCCGAAATCATTAAGGAGATAAGGGACGCGGCGAGAGTTCGTGAGGATGCCTTGCTTGCCAAAGTGAAACACATGATCGAGGAGCGGCAGTTTAATATGGTAAGCATTTTAATTTAGGTAGGTATGATTCATGCAGTTATTATCTTAATGTAATTAGACTGTGATTTCCGATTGTTTTCTAAATGATTATATAATTTCTGTTGGGAGGCAGCAGTGGTTACACCATAGTTCAATTTAGGAATAACTCATTAAAAAGAAAAATGCTCGTTATGTATTATTTATTAGACTATAAGTTGAGAGAATTCGTTGTTGATTACTAATTAGGTAAGTACCTACTATTGATGAAAAGGTACCCAAACAGATACATATTCCACTTATTACATGCACTTGAAGGTAACTGGAATTGCTATGTAAAATTTGCTACATTTGTATTTAATTGCCATATTATTTAGTACTTTAGTAGAATTTTTCTTTACTTTGATCACGCGTCTTCGGTGTATTATGACTATGTATGTTTACATAGCATCATGCAATGATTGGAAGAGAATACGTATGTATAGGCAGCTATACAGACAGTGCTGCATGGTGGGTATCCATTGTTATTTGGACGTAAAGGAAAAATTTAAAAAAAATCAATTTATATTGTTTGCCCGAGGTTTTTTCGTAATAAACGCCCGCAGTACTTATCAGCAGAAGTTGCGAAGTGACTGCAATCTTGACTTACCCCATAGTTAAGGGCAATCCAAATTTCAGGTGAGCGGTTCATATATGCGGATCTCACCTTCGCCTGGCTCAACACTGTAAATAAAAAAAAACTCCAATCCTACAGATAATCTAAAATCCAACACTTTTTTGTGTCAAGCCCTGCTTTATATCGCACTCCGTTAGTCTCTCTTAAGAATTTTTTTGAGTTTGCATTAGAAAAAAAATTTAATCAAAATGCCCAAATCCTACAAAGATAGTTTCCAGCACGGCACTCCCTCTGAATTCCTTAAAAAAATTTTTATGGGTTTGCATTAGAAAAAAATGTAAAAAATACCCTAAACCTATAAATGCCTGTGTCCAACACTCTTTTGTATCCAACTCCGTTTGAATTTTTGTGTGCGTTTGCTTTAGAAAAAAAATTTATTTATTTAGTTATTCGGAATGCACCTCCCGAGTTTCAGGTGGCCACTTTAACACCAACAGATGCCGTTTCGTCAAAATTCAAAATTTATTCTCTCTAAATTTAAAAGTGTAAATAAACAATTGGGAAAATACTCGGGAAGATACTTTTAAAAAGGTCGTTTGTCTTTTTTCATAACTAAAAATTACAATTTGGAACAGCATGTCGGCTGTGCGGAAAAAAATTTAAATTAATTTATGGTTATGATACGTAAGTTCAATTTTTTCGCTCACACTCCACATGTTAAACCGAGTGTTAAACGTTTCAAATTTTAATTTTCTCTCACTAGAAGAACTTAGGCGTGCATTGTAACAGGTGATCGCTTTAGAATTGCAAAAGTATTTTTTCGATTTCGTATTTTATTGAACATAGGAAAATTAACACATATACCGCTTCTTAGTGAACATGAACAAAAGTATGTCGGGAAATAAATGGCGATGACAAGAAACGTATTGGGGGAAAGTGAGCGCGGTTGGCACGATCTCTTTGGATCTAAAAGTTTCGTTCCATTCTGGTAAAAGCCGATCACTTGACGAAAATACTGGTTTTAGATTGCTTGTTAGCGTAAACCAACCCAGATCATTTGCGGTTTTTCTCGTGGACGAGATTGAAATAGCGAAAGAAGTGGAAGATTGGAAGACTAATTCGGTAGCGATACGTACATTGATTTTCGCGAGCGGTCACGTACGCGAAATTAAATTCTTAGAATGCGCTAGACAGTATCAATTATTTCGCGATCTGCATTTTTAGCTGGGGTGTAAGAAAGATCCTCGCGTATGTGTGTAGATTCGTCGTTCGATTTCAAGAATCAGAACGCGGACTTAGTTGATAAAATCTATTCGAGTCGCTGTAAAGATTAACATAACTTCGAGTAGAAAACATATTAAGTGGCGAGACCTAAATTTTGGTACGTAGTGGAGACACATTTAAATAAATTCGGAGCTGTAAAAATTGTGGGTTGCCTGCAACTTTATACGTGTGCGAATAGAAGAATTGCAGGGGATTGCGGAACGAGAGATAACAGCCTGATTCGTAGCAAGACCTTTTGTGAAAAGATTTACACGAAGGAACATTTTCGAGTCTGTGAACGGCTTTTCAAATAACAAACGGGAATAAATAAACTGAGCTTAATACTCATTGTGATAAAGAATTTAACTTTTCATTCGGATGGCCAAATCTAACGGTTGGTTTGGTTTTCGTATACCATGGTATACGGCAGGGAATTTAGATACAATTAATCAATGCATTTACCCGCAAAAACCTAGTGACTAAATTGGGCAAAATTAATATCGACATAGTGAAACATTGGTACTTTATTCCTGTGCATAATCACGATATCGGGCATTATTTTCGCGAATTTGAAGCAGGTTTGTTTAGATTTGCAATACGTATGGACATTTTGTGAGTAGGAAGTAGCATTTTTTCAAGGACATATAATGTTACCAGAAGTGAATATTGCCGTTTAATAGAAAAATATCCCTTGGGCCAATTTAATGAACCGGGTATCAAATTAAAGCCTGTTTCATTTAACCATAACAAATATTTTGTTAATAGTAAAGTTTAAGTACTGTTTCAGTGCGAGAACACTTCAATGTGGTTTACCGGGCTACAGCCAAGTTTAAACTCTTGATAATAAAATTACTCAACCAAATCCCTTCAAATTTTAGTATTTTTTTAATCTGACAATAGGTTTAATTAAGTGTATGGGATTCTACTGAATGAACAAGTACAGAAAGCGGTAAACCTGGACTAAATTTATAGCTGGCAAACGAGCTGATTTTGAACGGGGGAATTTTTTGTTTGCTAAAGAAAAGGATTCGCATCATAAGGAGTGTCGGTTTAGAAACATGGAAGGAGTGGGGAAATGTTTAATTTTTAATCGTATTACGTGGGTGAGTGGTCCTGAAATACGGTCCCGATTGTTTGAGTGCGTTTGAAAACTTAAGCCGCCCGTTAGTCTAGGGAACGACGTGATTATTTCATGTTATAGAGATTTTTTGTTTATTTTGCAGTCGTGGTGATTCGTGTGGGATTTTCAGAGTAAGCGGGAAATTTCTGCAAGGAACCGTTAGGAAATTCGCGTTGATACAAGACCAGAGTTTGGACAAGTACCTGTAAATTAGTGCAGGGTGATTTTATTTTGTGAAAATTAAAATTTGCGTCGAGCGGTCAGCGGAGTTAAATCCACCACTTGTAAATTACCGCGGGGTGTATTTTTTGTGAAAAGAGTATTCGCGCGGGGTGGTTTTATACATATATTGGTGTGAGATCCTAATAATCAGGAACGTGTATTACTTTCGACGAAATTTCGTACGTCTACGGTAGCGAAATTGAGTACGTGTCTGTATTTATAAGGGATAATTCATGGCTTAGAAACTGTTACGGTCGGTTACGGTAAATACGAACAATAGTGGATGTTCTAAACGCACAAAATGATGTGATTTTAAATAAAGTTTAATTGTGAAATAGAGGATATTGTTGCGTCTAATTAGAAGCGAGAAATTAAATTCTGTCACCTTAATATTCAAAGCGGTTGTTAAATAAACATTACCAAAAGGAATATTACAGCATTAAGATAGCGAATCCAAAGGTTTCGTCGGAAAATAAGTTCATCGTGTGATTTGGGGACCTGACTGAGAGAAATTCTAAGTCATAAACTGTCCCATTAAGGGAGTGTAGGTGCAAATTCCTATTCAGAACTGTCAAAAATTTATAACGGTACAAACGGACTTTTCCGGCCTATAAATCAGTGTTGAGTGGCGTTTCGACTAATAAAAAAGTAGTTCGAAACCGAAAGTTACCCAGTTTCAGAGTACAACGTTGCAATTTGTTGAGTCTTTTTGTGCGCTAATAATTTACACTGTAAGAGCAGACCGCGGTTTGTCAGCAGGCTAAAAGAAGTCCATGACCCGACAATTCGCATACAAAAAGGTAGTCTTAAAGAAAATCCAGAAATACCTTGTAAGTAGTACTTCAGGAGATACAATTTCCATTCTTGATTTTCCATTATGAATGTACCATCTCTAGGAGAAGGGCCGTGCATATTTGTACTGTAGGAAAACCCTCGTGTTGAGAGAGCGCTAGATAAATGTAATTTTCCTTGTATAAAAATAACGATCGGTTCTCTTTAAGAAACTGCGATTTTGGATCCTTAAAACTTGGCTCCGGTATTCTATAAAAGTATATATTACGTGTGATATTTGGTAGGAGTGTGATTTGTTTCTTTCAGTTGAATTTAATTAATTTAATTAAATATGGCAAGTGGGATGATTGCGACAAGGAACTACGACTGAGGGATAGGTGGAGGGAAGAAGGAGAGAACCAGCAGGGGTACGGCAATCGTAATCAAGAAGCACCGAGGAATTGAAGTGGAGAAATTTGCAGAAAAAAGCGAGAGTATGTCCATGGCCCAAATCAAGACGAACATAGGAAGACTAACAATCATAGGATGCCTCATCCCCTCGGACAAAAGGTGGGGAGGAAGAGAGCAGGAATGAAAGGACAAGGAGCAAAGCGCGGGAACCGAATGTTAGGATGTGAAACTTCTGCCAGGGGAGAAGAAAAAGGGGCACAGAAAAGAGCAGGAAGCGATTAGAAGCAAAAAGGGGAAAACACTAGAGAAACAGAAACCGCCCATGTCCACCCACCGAACAGGAAGCGAGCCATGGATAATCACAGCAGAGCAATCAAGAGGTTTGAGCAAAACCCACACACACCTGAAACAAAGAAAGAGCTAAGGGAAGCCAAGGAGGTGAAAAACACTTGAGCAACACGAAATCAAGGAATTCGCCGAGTTCGCGGAGAACATCGCCAAGCTCAGACCAATGGAGGGGAATGCGCACATAAAAAAACAGAAGGGGGAAACAGAATATATATACCAATGACAGCGTGGGCGATACTGGGACTGCCCAAATTCCTAATCAACAGAATCATAAACGCGTGCCTAAGGGAGTATGCTAGTATACAATGGTTTGGAAAGAAGACCGGCTAACACCCAGTTAGTAAAAATTTGGTTGTTCCGTGGTTTTGGTCGTGCCGTGTACACGGATGGACGGATGTAACGTTCTTAGAAAATTTGATGAGAAGGAATCATCAGTATAAGTATCTGGATGCCAACATTGTTGAGGGAATAAATACTCTCCGAGGTAGTACGTCTGTTCCGTGTTCAACAAATGATGTAGGTAAGGCGGTAAGACCACAAACTTTACTTCCTGTGTATCATCTAATCCGCCACAAAACTTTCTTTTCATGTGAAAATGTCGATCCTCGGACGGGCAGAATCAGAAAATTCACGCTCATGATAATATGACCTGACGAATACCTTCCCTTCTATTTCTGCTCGGAATTTTACAATAAACCCAGACAAAAGTTATAAATAAGAAAGTAGTGCTCCAGTGGGTTGAGCACCGAATCCCAAAAGCACTTCTTTCCTCATAGATTCTTTCGTTATAGATGGCCTTGTACTCGCGCTGCTTAATGTGAATGCAGAAAAAAATATCGCGTTTTATACGCAATAAGGGGTATTCTCCTCAAAAACGAATTTCCCTGTGGGAATATTCCGGTGATAAATATGCACCGAATATAGAATACTTCTTTGTGCAAATTTAAAATAGTGATTTTCAATAAAAGTTCAGTTTTGTTTTCATTCATTCATAAGTTTTACGCCACCCTACAGACCACTTTTAATATGTTAAATAACCCTTAAACACGAAAATATTATCTTTACCATTTGAAAATGAATAAAAGTCAACGCAGGTAAAAGTAGATCAGCTCAGATTAAAAGTAAATTCGTTTTACTATTCCAAGAGGCACATCCTCTCTTTATTGCTTTTGACATAAAGTCTGCGGAAGTGGATAAGAGACAAACCCATCCTACTTAGAGATGCGGTTTCGCACTTCAATGTTACCTGACCACCCACAATGGTACTATATTACTTTTACTAGAGGGTATTAGCTTACCTGAACTGTCATAACAAAAAAACATTGCCTGACTTATTTCGTGCCTTAAAATTCCGAATGAAAATTTCTACAGAAAAATGAAAGTTAAAATTAAATTACTTAATTTCACAATTACCAAAGGGAATTTTGATTCACAAGAAGGTTGGTTTCTTGGCAACGATAGTGTGTTTTTCATATTCTTTTTGCGTGCGAATGCTATTACAGTTTGGCACATTTTTCGAATTTTCAAATATTTAAAAGAGAATTAATTTTATTACACCATTGTCAATTATGGGTTGTTACTCTGTTGAAAAGAGAATAAAATTAATTTTGATTATGTAAAAATCTATAATTGTGCTTAATTAACAAGAGAAAGTTGATATTTATGTCAGTGTTAGATGTCCCATAGATGTCGGAGGATATCAAGGTTCGACAATATCCATTTAGGGAAATCCGATAAATTTACATACTAAATGGATGTTTGGTATACAAAATGTTATCTGTGATTTCTCCCTGGGTATTCGCATGTGATGTTTTTTTGACCACAACCACAATTACCACGCACTCCACTCGTGTTGCATGCTTTCGAATCGCTTCGAATCTACAGTCAAAGTTTAACGAAAATCGCCCCACAAACTCCACTCGTATTCGGAAACCAGACTTTTGATCCGGCTCATATTCAATAGCACTGATCCTTGAAATCGTAGACATCGATTGGTGAAGGTTTGACATTGCTGTCTTTTTTTCGTTCTCGAGTTAGACGATGAACAGAGGGATAAAACCATCACATAAGGGGAATTTTTTCTTCCAAAAAATTACCTAACTAACTGATAAAGAGAATAGGGGAAAATGGCAACGTGAATTCCAACTAAATAAATTTGCGTTTAGCCATTTTCCAACAAAATTCAAAGATGTATCATAATTTTGGAGATAAAACATTTCCCTTTTTTTTCAAGCAACTACTTACCTACATTTAATGCACTGACAGATCCAATTTGTTATAGTTTCTGAGAAAATGCAAATTTTGAACTGCCCTGTTGCACCAAGGAATCAGTCCTTTCTGCGCCATTTACAAAAAAAACCAAAAAATCGATTTTTTCACTTTCCACAATTTTTAACTTTTTGCGTTTATTGTGCTTAAAACTAAACTCAAACACGAAGCTTGCTCAGTTTTGGAGGCGATAGGAATAAAGCGAGGAATAAAGTAATGCTGGAATAAAAAATGAAACAGGATGGCGTGGATACATTGGAACTCAATCAGGATGAGGTTTAGATGATAGTGGTTGTTAAATTTAATTACGTGATTTATTTATTTACAATTAATTATTATTGAATTTACAAGTTTTGTACACAAATTTATAACATGTAAATTTATCACATATGAGCGCGAAATTTACTAATAATCACTTTGCTGTCGATGTTGGAACTGCCATTAAACACTCTTCACTTTGCTTATATCGCAACTTTAACGATTTCATGGCGCCCCGATGTCTGGGATACTCGCTACATAATGCTGTCGAACTGAAATTTAAAACACGATGGTGCTCATAGGTGCCAACATAAACGAGATTAAGGTTTGAAGGATTCCTGATTTCAATCCCCGTCATAAATTCGGGCCTGGTGTTAACGTAATTTAAATATGAACCAAAAAGAGGCTCGTGGTAAGGTATTGTTATGATAGGCCATAAGTTACGATAGTGGTCTGTTAAAACATTTTTATCATCTCAAATAACCCCAGAATTTCTAATGCATAAACCGCCGACATATTGAAGCCGAATGCCTAGAATATTACAAGTGTTCATGCCTGTGTAAACACCAAAATTGCCTTAATGGACATTCGAATTGGGCAACCATCGACTTTAGCGGTATACGTGGATTAAAACCCCTATTAAGGCAATTAGGGTCGATGCTACGCGGTTATGCACCCGTTTAGTTATACTTAAGCACTCATTATTCAGAGAATTCCTTTTCGGTTCGTGCCGAAAAAGGACAAAAAAACTATACCCCATTAATCATGTAGATGGTCAAAATTCGAAACGAAATTCTATCTATCTATTCTCTGATGAGAACATCCACTTCCAAAAGTAAATATTGACACATGCTGTCCACGTACGTACTCTGCCTGGGAAATCTTAATAAATCAATATATCCGTCGGCCATTATTGCAGTATATCCAAATTAAAAGCGTTGCAATTTATAATGCCTTATTTTTTGTATTTGTTATTTTCAGAATCAGATGACGATCAACGCCGAAAAGACTCGCAATAATGAACGCATCGCGAAATTGGAGGAGCAGTTAAAGAATCTCGCCCTCACCCAAACGAGGTAAGCGAATTTCTTTTACTTTTCCAATTTGAAACTCGTAATTTCTGAGAGCGTATTAATTTGCCGGGCAGGCGTGGCTGGGAAAATGACAGCCTTTCCTGAGCACATAATTCACCGCAGTGTAATTTTCTCGCGGACGCTTTCTCATGTTTACTCTGGCAGGAAAATATGGCTCGCGATAAGGCAGGTTTTACGTTATCAGCAAAGTGCGAGTTTGGGGCTTTTCGAGCTGGCCAATGTAATTCTTTGTTCGTTTTATTTCCGAACGAGGAGCGGCGACGTTCAAAATTTCTCATTCGCGTTTTAAATTGTTTAGATCTGATGATAGCGCATCCGTTCCGACGACGTACGCCAGCAATACTGATGATGGTCCGAATTCTGCAAGGCAAGTAATCGAATTGGAGCGAGAAGCTTTAGTCTTACGTCGAGAATTACAAGATGCAAGAGCCAAAAAGGAAGAGACTGACAAAAAGTTCATACAGTACGTATAACTGTCGGGCTTGTATTTTTGATGGTGTAGGAGTAGACTTAGAGTTGCAGTTTTGCTCTGACTTTGCGCGCTTTTGCTTTTCATATTTAGTTTGCTCGAGTTTTTCACGCTCATTTCAACCGATTTGAAATGTCACTGTGCTTGTCGAAATACATAAATTTCCTTTCATTCAGTTATCGAAAAACCGTCGATAATTGTAAAAAAAACTCACCTAATAAACTTCGTATGCAAGGACACAGGTAAGTACGTCGATCGTGATATTTGCTGCATTCTCTTTGACATTGTAAACAACAAATTAGATCATTTCATAGATCTTGATTGAGCGAATTCCCAAAATATAAAATTTGGTGTAACCCACACCAAATTTCCAGCCAAATGTACAGATTCCAATGCTGGACCTGTAATAAATCAATAAGAATACTGTTTTTAAAACAAAAGCTACTTTGCAAAAGAAAAATCGCTCACGCTCACAGAAAATAGTGTCACAAGTAAGAAGTAGCAGTAGTGTATCTATATTGTCAGATGTTTTCGGTGGAAGAATCCTTTGTGATAATAAAAAGTAATTGTTCCTCACAAGTGCAATAATTACTATTATTAAACATAGTGTACAAAAGGCACATTAATAGAATTTGTGGTACAACTCAAAATCCCAGAATTTGGCATAAGACCAAATTAGTATGATTTCTTCCAAAAGAAGACTCCCGTCGAGTCGAATTGGTGGCTGTAGTAGGTAACTGGTGAGCTTTGCAATTTCGAAAACGTAATCGACGGATTGGTGTCCTTTTCTCTGCTGCCATTTTAGTTATTCTTCGCAACACGTCAGTGTGCTCAAGGCTTTTTGCACAAACCTTTGAAATGCCGCCTTAATGCAATTTTTCTTCAAAACAGGTTGGAAAAGAAGTTGGAGACTCTCTTGCATCATAGCGAATCGATCGCTTGCGACGCTTCCGAAGACGGAAAGGCTTCAAACTCGTCCAGTCCCTTTTCTTTTCCTATATTATCATCTGTTCCTCCTCCCATACCGCAAAGAGTTACATTAACCGGCCCCGTCACCGATTTATAAATTGAACCTTAAATCTCACGGTAGACTCACTAGCTGTAATTACAATGAATCTAATTAGTGGCCATAAAGTAACATAGTGTTGTGATAACATTCCATCCATTAGTGTGACTATTTATTTTTCATGTTGTCATTTAGTGTACGTAAAGTTAAATCAATACGTAGATGTGGAAAACTGAGTGCCTAACTAGGTGCTCAAGTGAGGGCCTATCAAATAATATTACTTATCACTGTTGGTAGAACTAAGTTAGGTGGTGTACAGATTTTAAGTTTTTGCCTTAAAGGCTTGGCCATTTGTATGACTGATTGTCCGTTTGCAATAGCGTCCACGATTTACGTGAGCGGCAAGTAAAAGGCGGGAAATGAATTACGAACCCGTTGCAGTGTTGTTTGGTTATTACAAATTTCACCAAGTACTTTTTGAAACACTGCAAACAGATGCAAACTCCTCCTACTCGATTATCTGTTCGTATACCTACATTCTTTCACTATCCTACCTTTATATACACATTAACATATAATAATTTGTTTATAGACACCGTCAACATCCGATTAGGTGCGCTTTTGATATCAAAATCTGACGCATGGCAACACTGCAACTCGTTTCCGTAAAAATGAGTACAAACGCAGCATAAAACCAATCGGCTGCACTGTATATTGTTTTACGTTAACAATAACTAATAGAATTAAGCAATAAAAAGAGTTAGTTGTTCACACACTCAATTACCCTTACAGTACGTTAAGCAAATATATTTTTATAACATTTTACCACATTGTTTTTGTTGTAAATTACCGTCCCTTCCTAAACCAACACTTTTACCTTGCGAATAGTCACTTGCAATAGCAATTGAATTTCCGATTTTAATGCTAAAAGTGCTTTTATCTCCCGTCTTTCGTCACGACGATACGAAATTTCTCACATATTTTTTTTCCGCCTCGACACGCAATCCTCTAATTGCAATAAACCGAACCCTTTAACCGTAATTTAGGTACCTTTATAACCCCTAACCTGGGAAATAATAATGCAATTACTAAATTTATTTGAGGAGGATAAAGTGACGCTCTTGTTTCCTGTCCTTCCGGAAGTGAATAGTTGCGGTCGTGTGACGTACACGTGAGAGGGGTAAAATACACGCTCCTTTTTTATTATCGTCATTAATTTATATGCAAACTTTTGTTTCCAGACCAACAGAAGAAAGTGGTATTTTGTAATACTCTTTTATACCTCTGAAGTAAATTAAAGAAACACTTCATTGATATTCCCTTTACAGATATTTAGGTAATATTCAGGGGGTAAGTATGCGAAATAATAAAATCAGCACGAATCACCACCGGAGTATTTTGGTCAGAAAGGTAAGCTGTACACTGTACAGGATGTTCAACGACGAGCTGAATGGATGGAAAACTAACAGGGAATGATGTTCAACAAGTAAGTCTTCTACATTTCATTTTTTTTAATACAGTATTTAAGATTTCTTGTTTTAAAAACTACATTGGAAATTAAATGTTATAAAAACCAATATGGAGGGTGTCGCATTATTGCGATATTGGATATCGCTTGACAGGGTGAAAAAAAAAGTTTAAAATGAAAATTGTTTGGTTTGTTGAAACAGGGAACACTAATTTAACATTAAAAAGAAATCATTGTTCACGTGTCAGTAAAAACAAACACTTATGTAAATTTAAAAGGCCATAAGCATTGTTTTTGTTTATACAGGGTGGCCATTTGAAAACGAAACAGAGCCTATTTTGGGGACCTCAAAACATTTACGAAAAAATCCTCGGACCCGTCAATTTTTGATCTAAGGGGGAATCATTTTTTTGCTAGTTTCGCCCCCCCCCCCTGGGGGCAAAGGCATAGCGGGGGTGACAAGTGCCTCCAAAATTTTAAATCGAATGGGGGGTCGTGATACCTTATTTTGAAGGTATTTTTATGTAGATTATAACTCTTAAGATTTAAATCAGTTTTATTTTAAGTGCTTAAAGCTAAAATCGATCAAGTAAATGTTGGAAATGTTGGCCTTCGACTTCCATACAATAATACAAGTTTTGTTCAAACCTTTCCCGTACATTTTGCAAAACTTCTGGGGTGATTTGACGACATTCATCAATTATTCTTTGTCGCAAGGATTAATCGTATTTTCTAATAACTTCAAGTACATCTCTCCTGTTAGATTGCCAGGTAAAACGAAGGGGCCTACGATATGGTTACCAACAATGCCAGCCCAAACATTCAATTTTTTGGGACGTTGTGTATGCACCTCACGAAATATTCTGGGATTTGAATCAGCCCAATAGCGACAGGTGTGTATTTGTCACTACTATTATTTGACAACAACAATTGACAAGCACTATTAAACTTCAAAATGTTGCTATAGTAACGCTCTCAACAATAACCAAGATTTCCGTTGCAGAATTGGCATAGTCACCTACAGGTATTAAAAAGAAAAAAAACAACAACAAAAAGTACGGTTCAGAATGTAGGAGAACAGCATTTTTTGTATTTACTGTTGTATTAATTTTTGTTATTTAGCTAATTCATTTACAAGCTTTTTTTCATACGTTTTTAACTTTCATTAGCCCCTGTATCGGCTAGACAAATTAGTAGCGATTTAAAACGTAAGGGTTATAATCCACATAAAAATACCTTTAAAATAAGGTATCACTCGACCCCCCCATTCGATTTAAAATTTTGGGAGCACTTGTCACCCCCGCTAGGGCTTTGCCCTTAGGGGGGCGAAACTAGCAAAAAAATGGTTCCCCCTTGAATGAAAAATTTACGGGTCCGAGGCTTTTTTCGTAAATGTTTTGAGGTTCCCAAAATAGGCTCTGTTTCGTTTTCAAATGCCCACCCTGTATAAGCTAAATCGTTTATACGAGATTGGTGCAAACTTGCACTTACTTTAGGATCGTTGGAAAATTTGACTACATTCTACAGGGTGTTTGCAATACGGTGCAACGACAGGAACAAGTAAAAACAATGAGGCTTGGTTAAATTACTTAAATTTTACATGCCTTTTCTAAGACACATAAAAACAAGTACATATAAATATATCTCTGGCGTATGTCAGACGGACTACGCATTTTTGACCTGCTACGATCAAGGCGAGATTATAGAAATCTAATAGGCATATCACATATTCGAAGCAAGTCACCCTTCTAAATATGAATACGAAGAAAAATGTGTTTAAATATATAAGAATAAATTAATCAATTCATTGCCAAGTGTAATTATGCAATCTTGACCTAACGCAACTCGCTCCCAGATGAAGCGCCCTGTAAAGATACAGTAATAAATGTTGACATACCTGACCTGCAAAGACAATGAAATGCTGCACGAAATTCAATTATAAATAAACACTTTGTTGATGTTCAAACTGCAGCAACCACGGAAAACAGTGACAAAAATGCGTGCCTTTAGAATATCCCCCATAAGCGAAGTAATGATAATAATCTTAGGGGTCCCCCAAGCCGGCACTGCAATCGTGACTTACCTGACTTACAGTTGGCAACTTGAGAAAAAACTACGAGCAAAGACATCTAACTTTCAACTAACTAATTAACTTCAAGTCGGTTAGGCCCGGGTGGCACCATAGGTCCTATGCTTTGTTATCGTTCTTTTTGTGTTGATATGTCAAATTGCGACCGTATAATAATAAATGTCATTTAACGATTCTCGTTCAAAACTGCGGCGCAGAAATGATCATTTAAAACTGCACAACAAGCTATAAGGAAACTACTGCCTCCTAAATTCAAAAAGGTATATGAAAGCTGTATCATAAATATAAAATTTGATACACGAACTAAAATGTCGATGTATAAAGGTAGGTAACCATTAATCATTAAATTGTGTTTGACATTTCAGTCACTTTTTGTCTCTCGTAGTGACGCTACTCCCTTAAATGAATGACAAAATACCTTGATTTAGTCCACGGAGTACAAAAATATATTACGCCCGCAACTAGGCGATACCAGAGAAACCTTCTTCGGGACAAAAACCCAGGAATATCCCACACAAATCAACTACAATAACAAAATGCAAAAAAGAAAATACAAATAAAACATCTCAAATTGTACGATATAAATCAGGTAATCGAATCAAATGCGGTTAAACAAATTCATAAAAACAAACAAACAACATTTAAATCACATTTAGATAAATTATCGAACAAGGCTATCAAGGCACTACGGACCTGTAGAAACATGTTTGGTAAAAACCCCAACCGGCGTGTGGAATTGCACATGTAACGGTGGCAAATGAAATCTTAAAATGGAGGAACATCTCTGATCAAGAGACAAACTAAGGCTCTACTAGAGGTGCCCCCCGTCCAAAGAGCTAAATACCTGCTAAAGTTTAGTAGGAATCATTATGCGGGATTAAGTTTCAAATGAGTAGACCAAATTTTGGGATCACAATGGGTGACAAAAACTACTTTCTTAGATCGTTTAAAACTTCTATACACTGGTTAGTTTTGTAGGGGGCGATAACCCCAAAATTTTTAAATTGCGCCTCGTCGAATTTCATTTTAAAAGTAATTAAAATAGAGACATAGGTATTACCAAAACGAAAACCCGATAATTTAGTTACTTATTTTAATAATTTATGTTGCAATTTAAAAATTTTCTTAAAAAAACTGTTCAGTGTATGAACGTTTTAAACCATCTACAGTGTAGTTTTTATGACCCTTTATTGATCTCGAAATGCTCAGATTTTTTTCTTCACTGGTTTGAAAGTTACCTACAGCTCCGTCTTGGGTTTTTTTGGAAACCCTGTATATTTTGACAGATCTTCGATTTATTGTCGAATGAAAAGGTACCCTCCACAACATGTGTTTCGAATGTGCTTTGCATCTTAACAAAAATTAGAGGGTACAATTGGTTTTAAGGGTCTAATCGACTAATCGGAAACCACTTCTAAGAATAACAAGAAATGCATTGAGACAAATTTTTGTTCACATAAAAATAAAACAATGTAAAGAAAATTTGTTTGAAAATTTTACGGTTCAAATAAGCGTTATAGAAAATTCCATTTCTATTTGTCGAAAATATGTCCACGAAAAAATCTTCCAGTCTATAAATCTGGGAAAAGGAGAGGAATAAAAAATAAATTCCTGCAATAAAATGTAAGCATTCTTAATTGTTGTCTGCTCGATTGGAATTACGCTGCATTGACGTACCCACTTAATTAATGATTGAAAACGTCGGTCTTCCAACCGAATGCAACGAATCAATCGATTGCGTCAACAAGCTTACATCTAAATTCCGCACAGCTAGATGGCGCGCGCGGTTTCCCTCGAAAGAGAAAAAGTAAACCAAACCAAAACGGTTTTTTAATTGAGATAATGTGTTAAATCAATTTAAAAATTATGTCAGGGTGAAAATGTATCAATTTAAAAATATTGACAGAGGAAGTATGTACAGAATACTTATAATCTCAATTTTATGAAAAATATTAAAGCAAACACTGTAGCAAATGTCTATAGACACAGAGATTGCCGATCAAATTGTAGAAGAGCGAGTGAGAGAAGACGATAGATCTTTGACTATCGACTTTAAATATTTACACTTGTTTTATGAGCGGCAAATCATTTTAAATGTAAAAAGAAAGATCTCGTTATTTTCGAAATGAGATTTTGATATAGGTATCGACAACAAAAGCCGTCGTAGCGTCACGTGTTTTAACGGTTTTTAATTCAAAAGCGCGGTTTATTTATAAAATCGTAGCTGTTTTTGTTATTAATGAACCTTATCAACAGTTGTAGTAAA